TCGCTGTCTTAAACTCTAACTTTATGCAAGATTTCGTGTCCTTTGGTTTCTATTTGTGACCTTTATAACGGCTGCAAAATCAGGAAAATTTTTAGTTGTTGGTCCATTTCAACCCCTAATATATTGCGGACATCTTCGAAAACAGCCCTTCTGAGCACAACTATACCCTTGTGAAAAGTTTCGTGAGGATCGGACGATATTTGCAATACTTATATAAGATCCCCAACCTGTGTTGTAAGTTGAAAAAATATATTATAAGTCAAATTGAAAAAATCGCATGCGATAAAAAATATGAAAAAAAAATATCAAAAAAATACTACAAAATCTATATTAACATCATTATTGGCATATTTTTCTGCGATTTTTTTAGATTTTATACTTTTATGTCAAGATGGCATTTTGAAATGACAAAATTTGTCAAAATCGGTCCAGGCATTCTTATATATGAGCATTCTAACTAACATCCCCTTCCTTTGTTTATATACATTGTATATATTTCTCTATATATATCCGATATATTTACTATCGACATTTACGTAACGGAATTGACCTGTTCGTCTATTTGTGATTTCTCCGGGATTAAACATATTCGCGGTTTAATGGAAAATTTGACTTTTGTTTAACAGAAATGTTATGGTCTATTTCACCCACTAAATATTACCCGATGAAGCATTTGAATGCTTCTTCCCAGCCCTAAGCTCTAGCCCCATGCTAACTTCCGCTTTGATTGGTCTATAATTGAGACCTGTAAAGCAACTGCAAAATCAGGAATTTTTTCAGTTTTTGGTCCATTTCAAACCCTAAATATTATGCGATCATCTCGAAAAACAATAAGGTTCTATTATGACCCTATCCCCACCTCCATTTTAAAATTTCGTGAAGATCGGGCCATAATCGCGACCTGTAGAATGATTACAAATTAACATGGACAGACGGACGGACACACATAGCTAGATCGACTCAGCTCGGCGAGATAGGAATATCCATATATACTTTCCTATGTGGGAAACCAATATTTCGAGGTGTTACATCAGTTTTGGCCCAATCAAACTTATAATACCCCCAACACATAGTGTTGTAGGGTATAAATATGTATGGGAGCTATAGTTATATCTGAAGCGAGTTTAATTAAATTTTATGTACTTGTTTCTAGGCTGAATTCGGTCGGAAGTGCCACAATTCACTCCATTTCGGCTGATATTAGGCATTTGGTGCACAATAAACCTGTATGGGCCTTTCTGGCCTTTATCTGATACCAAATATCATTGTTGTGGAGTTTATATTACGAATATGAGGGACTTTGTCTGAACTGGGATGCCTCATTATGACACCAGTGGGGGGAAGGGGGAACTTTCTCGGAATCCACCCTCCTATCCATTTTCGATGAAGAACTTCAGCAGCCTAGAAAAACAAGTAAAGTTTGACACAGTTACGTTCAGTTTTATGAGGTCGTCTCAATTCGTATGTGACACGAATTGATACAGATGTACGGCAAATCTGCCCGGCATATGATACAGACCCGTACAATACAGTGCACCACCTTAAAATGTTCTGTCAAACCTACCTCTCTCTCTCCAGGATACCTTTTTGGTTATAGCCCTCGGAGGTCGTCACCTTCTTCAGTTATAATCCGAATAATTTATGATTTAATTTGTAACTTTTCATTTGTAATTCGAGAATTCCATTTGTAATTCGAACTATTTCAGTTGTATTTCTGGAATCCCATTGTAATTCGAATGATTCTAATTGTAATTCGAATTATTCCATTTGTATTCCGAATTATTTTTTTCTTCGATTTTGAAGTGGAACAATTCGAATTAGAATAGGAATAATTCAAATTACAATTGGAAAATTTTGAATTAAAATTGGAATTATCGGACTAGAAATCGAATGATTCGACTTACAAATGTAATTCTCAAATTGAAATTAAAATGTTTCGAATTTCATCCTATAAAAGTGTAGAGTTACAAGCGGTTTGGCAGAAATTAAACCGAGCTTGTAAAGCTGTTACAACAACTACAGCCACTAAATGGAATTTGATTTAAGTGTAAGATTGAGCTAAACTTATGAATTTTGCTCGAAACAAGACCCTCGATGTTACATATCGATCATCACATATCGCCAAGCTGAGTCGATCTAGCAATGTCTATGCTTCAAAACATTTCAATATTTTTATACTCTCCACCATAGAATGGAGGGTATATTAAGTTTGTCATTCTTTTTGTAACACTTCGAACACACATTTTAGACCCCACAAAGTATATATATATATATATATATATATATATATATATATATATATATATATATATATATATATATATATATATATATATATATATATATTCTTGATCAGCATAAAATTCTATGTCGATTTAGCGATGCCCGTCCGTCTATCCGTCTGTGGAAGTCACTCTAGCTTCCGAACGAAATGAAGTAGATTGATAAAATTTTACTGAAATGTATATTATGTCTGCAAGACTTTTGGTATTGAAAATGGGCCATGTAGGTCCATGTGTTGGTACAGCCCCGTTCGGTATTCGGTATTTTGATGATCCCGATATTCGGTATTTTTATGATTTTAGTGACATTATTCACCAAAATTGTTTCAAATTTGGTATTTGAGGTTCGAAATGGTTACTACAGCCTGAGACAGAAAATAGTCTGTGCAGGTTCATGCCCTCCCGATATTCGGTATTTTCATGATTTTACCGACATTATTCACAGGATTTTTATACCCTACACCACATAGTGGTAAGGATATTATGTCTTTGTGCATTTGTTTGTAACATGGAGAAGAAAACGAGATAGACCCATAGTTACTTTTGAGAACCTTCATAGAATCACTTTCTGAGTCGATTTATGCATGTCAGTCCGTCTGTCCCTCCGTCCGTCTGTCCATGTATTCTTGTGAACAAAATGCAGGTCGCATTTATTATCCGATTGAGATGAAATTTTCCAAATAATATTTTTTTGGCCCAAGGACGAACCCTATTGAAATTGGTGAGAATCGGATCAAATTTAGATATAGCTCCCATATATATCTTCATCCGATTTCGGGTTAAATGTGCACCAAATGTCCACTATCAGTCCAAATTACCTGAATTTTGGCACACCCAACCGAGTTCGGTCTAGAAGCAAGTATATCAAATTTGGAGAAAATCGGTCCAGATATAGCTATAGCTCCCATATATATCTTTCATCCGATTTGATCTTTAAGTCCCTCACATTCCTACTATGCACTCCACAACCGTGATATTTGGTACAAGGTATTAGATGGAGCACAGAAATAGATGTTTTAAATTTTATCGAAATCGGTTCAGATTTGGATATATCTGCCATATATATCTTCATCCGATTTCGGATTAATTGACCACCAAATGGCCAATATCAGCCCAAATGGCCCGATTTTGGCACATGTGACTGAGATTAGCCTTAAAGCAAATACAACAAATTTGGAGAAAATCGGTTCAGAAACAGCTATAGCTCCCATATATATGTTTTATCCGATTTGGTGTTTAAGCCTCTCACATTCGTAATATGCACTCCACAAGAATGATATTTGGTACCAGATATAAGATACAGCCCAGAAATAGCTGTTTGTAATTTTATCGAAATCGATTCAGATTTGGATATAGCTTCCATATATATCTTCATCCGATTTCGGGTTAATTGTGCACCAAATGGCCGATATAAGTCCAAATGGACTGAGTTTTAGTACATCGGACCAAATTCAGCCTAGAAGCAAGTATATCAAATTTAGTGAAAATCGGTTCATATATAGATATAGCAACCATATATATGTTTCATACGATTTAGAGTTTTAGTCCCATACATTCGTAATATTCACTCCACAACCGTGATATTTGGTACCAGGTATTAGATGGAGCACAGGAATAGCTGTTTTAAATTTTATCGAAATCGGTTAAGATTTGGATATAGCTCCCATATATATCTTCATCCGATTTCGGGTGATTGACCACCAAATGGCCGTAATAGCATCAATTTTGGCAAATCCGACCGAAACCAGCTTAGAAGCAAGTACACCAATTTTAGTAAAAATAAAAAATAAAATAGATAGCTATAGTTCGTAAAATGCACGATAGAATTAGATAGATTTTGATTTTGTACCAAATATCTCATAGAGCTCTGAAATGTCCTGTATAAACCTTTTTACGAGAGCTCTACAAAATATGCATAGTGGTGTAGGGTATCATATAGTCGGCCCCGCCCGACTTTTGAGCTTTCTTTACTGGTTTTTAAATTTGGTATTTGAAGTTCTTCAGGGATACTAAAAATTATCTGTGCTGGTCCACATTTTTTGTATAGCCCCCATATAATATTACCTCCCTATATTGATGATTTTAGCTACATTATTCACAGATTTTTTTCAAGTTTCGCATTTGAATATTGTAATGGCTTAAGACAAAAGTTACCTATGCAGATCCACGTCATCGCTTAGACCCTAATATGACAGCTACATTTGGTATTTTTAAGATTTTAACAGAATTTCAAACGAATTTTATTTTTTTTAAAAATTGTCAAATTTGTTCCAAATGGTGGAGGTTATTCAAAGTTCGGCCCGGCCGAACTTACAGCTTTTTACTTGTTTATTCTCTAATATCGCTGTCGCTTTGATGTGATTCAAATTTTTTTTACAAATTTGTCCTTCTTTGTAAATCCAAATATTTAGCGCCATATGTATGTTAATTATTTGCTTCTAAATGCTTCAACAATATGTTGTTGGTATTTTTGCGGTACACCTAACATACGTTGCAATTGTGTTGGCGCTTAATCGAGTACAAATTGATGTGAGACGTTAAGCCGTATCAATACATGACTCTTATCAGTCGATTAATGTACCCGGGATCAGGTTGATGACGTTATCAATATAAAGAAAAACCCATACCAAATGTAAAATTCGATTTAATCAAAACAGCGGCTTAGCCCGGATTGATTTAAAAAAAATGTAAATAGTCATATTGATCTCATTACGATTTGTGCAGCGGAACTGAACCTTTGTGAAGTGTAGTCTGATTTGAAAAAAAAAAAAAAAATACAAAAAGAAATTTTAATTATGAATTTGAAAATAAAGTGCGCTTTAATTGCCATTGGCTTTTTAACATTTGCTTTTAAGGCTGAAGCCCGTGGTGGTGGCCGTGGAGGAAGGGGAGGAGGCAGCCATGGTGGCAGCAGAGGTGGCCACTCGAGTAGCAGTCATGGAAGTAGCTCTTTCAGTCATGGTGGGGGCAGTAGCAGCAGCGGATTTCATAGTCTCTCCAGTGGAAGACATGCAATTAATTCCAATAATTATGGAAGTGGTTCCAATTCGTATAGACCATATGGTCATGAAAGCAGTAGCGGTTATGGTAGCAGTTTTGGTCATACTGGGAGCTATGGTTCACGCTCACATGATGACTCATCGCTATCGTCCTATGGCAACAGGTGGAAACCATTCGAACCCTCGTATTTAAATTCTTATGGAATGTGTCATAACTATGGAAATCGAGATTTTTCGAGAAATTCGGGTGAGGATAAATATTATGTTAAAATGTATGAAAAAAAAAAACTTCTATGGAGAATACCAATACTGACTAGGGGAAGACCAAGGCCTTCTATGAGAAGATCAACTGGCCTTCTATGATTTTAGCCTTTTTTGAGAAATATTTTTTTGAAAATCTTGCTCTGTTCTTTTGAAAAATCCAAGATTAGACAAAGGACCCAGATCCAATGTTTCGGTCCAAAACTATTTGAACGTCTCTAAATGTAAACCCTAGAAACCAATATCAATACCAAATTTCAGAATTTCAGGTCTATCCTTCACCAATAACCAATTTAATAACATATCCAAAAGAAACTACCTCTCTCCATCCTAGTCACCAATAGTGATTCATAATAAGTACCATTTAGTACTTTTCGAATAATAATAGTACGCATTTTAGTACCAATTATATTTCATTTTCCAAACCATCTTCATATAGCAATTCCATACATCAACAGTGACCTCGATATCAAATTTGAGGTATCCAGCTCTATCTCTTCACCCAATGACAGTTTTAGTACAATTTAGTACGTTTTCGTACAAATGTATGACACTTTTCCAAACAACCACCAAATCCCAAAACATAGATACCAACAGTGATCATAATATCAAATGTCTGCTCTTTAAGTTTCCCCATTACTTACTATAGGACTATTTAGTACAATTATAGTACGCATATCCAAAACCATCTCCATATCTTAACAACAGTGACATCTATATAAATTTTAGCATTTCAGCTCTATCCCTTCACCCAATACCAAATTTAGTACTATTTTGTAATTTTCGTACAATTATAGTACACATTTTCAAAACTACCTCCATATTTCTATTTCAGGTACCAATAGAGACTTAAATATAAAATTTGAGAATTCTAGCCCTATTTATTCATCCAATACCGAATTTAGTACCACTTATTACTTTTCGTACAAATGTAGTATGCATATCCTAGATACCAACAGAGACCTCGATATCAAAATTGAGGATTCCAGCCTTATCTCTCCAACCAATACCAAATTAGTTTTTATTTAGTACTTTTCGTAAAATTATAGCACGCATTTCCTAAACCACCTTCATATCTGAATTCCAGATACCAACAAAGACCTCAATATTAAATTTGAGGATTTCAGTCCTATCCTTCACCCAATACCAAATTTAGTACAATTCAGTACTTTTGGTACAAATCTAGGACGCATTTCCAAACCACCTCCATATCTCATTTTCAGATATCAACAGAGACCATAATAACAAATATGAGTATTCCAGGCTTACCTTCACCCAATACAAAAAATAGATACAAATAGTGACCAATTTTAAATTTCGGGATGCCATCTATCTATCCCTTCACTCAATACCCAATGTAGTACCATTCAGTACTTTTCGTACAATTATTAAGCACATACACCATCTGAGACCTCAATATCAAATTTGGGGAAAACAGACTTTAACTTCATCCAATACCAAATTAAGTACAATTCAGTACTTTTCGTACAATTATAGTACACATTTCTGAAACCAACTCCATTTGTCCAGGCTACACGTGAACAGTGACCCTAATACCAAATTTCAGATTTCAAGCACAAACTGCTCACCTAAAACCAAATTTAGTACCATTTAGTACGCATATCCAAAAAAAATCTACATCTCTCCATACTAGATATCAGTCCAAATTTAGAAAAATCTCCAGATCTCAATACCTGGTACTAACAGTGACATTCATATCAAATTTTGCGATTCCAGCTCTATCCATTCACCCATTAGCCAATTTAGTACCAATTAGTATTTTTCGAGCAGTTATGGTACACATTTTTAACCACCAACCACCTCTAAAGCTCACAGTTACCAACAGTAACCTAAATATAAAATTTAAGAATTTTATTTCTGTCCCTTCAACCAATTCCAAATTTAATACCATTTAGTACTTTTCGTACAATTATACTAGACAACCTCTATATGTCCAAGCTACATATGAACAGCGACCCAAAATAAAGTTTAAGATTATATTCATCCAATACCAAATAGTGCCAAACATAGTACTATTTAGTACTTTTTGTGCACTTGTAGTACACATTTCCAAAAACAACCTCTTTATCACAAACCTACTATCAACAAAGACCCCAAAACAAAAATTTCAAAATTCCAGCTTCATCCGTTCACCTTAAACCAAACTGTACCATTTAGTACATTTCGTACACCTAGTACACATTTCCGAAACCATCTTAATTTGCAACCTTAATCTTCATACCAAAAGTTTTTAGCTCTATCCGTTCAAATAACAACAAATGGTTCAACTTCAAAAGTTAAGTACCATTTAAGAACTTTTCGTAACCATTAAGTTCGAATTTCCAAAAATCCTTTGGTACATTTATCCAGCACTCCATCAGTGACTCTCGTTCCAAAACCAGAATTTTAATTTATCCCGTTTGTCCAGTGCAGAGTATTAATTTTTTAGTACATATTAGTAATTTTCGTACCATTTTAGTACGAATTTCCAAAAACCTAGCCTTTCACATGCCTAAACACCGAGACTGACCCTAGTGCTTAGTTTCGTCTGGGATTTAATTCTTAGTCAGCCGGTCAGTTACTTCGCTACTCATTTAGATATAGATTAAGGCCTTTAGGCTCTTGAAGAAATATTCTTTCAATATAAAAACCAGTAAAGAAAGTCTTGAAGTTCGGACTTGTTTTGCCCATTTGCTGCAAAATTAATTTGAAATCGGATAAAAATATATATGGGAGCTATAGCCAAATCGGAACCGATCTTGCTAAAATTTGGCAAAGATATTTCTGTATTTGATATATTTCCCTGAATATCGTGGGTATGCACTCTTTGGAGTGCATATTACGGCTGTGGGTAACAAATATGACAAATCGGATGAACAGTATATATGGGAGCTATAGCTATATCTGAACCGATCTCCAAATTTGACATACTAGCTTCTAGACTCAATTCGGTCGTAAATGCCAAATTTCATCCAATTTGGCCAAATATTAGACGTTTGGTGCACAATCAAAGGTAAATCGGACGGAGTTATATGGGAACTATATCCAAATCTGAACCGATCTCGATAAAAGTTAGCAAATGTATTTCTGAGCTGTATTTGATATATTTCCCCAAATATGGTTGTTAAAATAGCAAATCGGATGAACAATATATATGGGAGCTATAGCTATATCTGAACCGATTTCGATCAAATTTGGCATACTTATTTTCAGGTCCAATTTGATCGTACGTGCAAAATTCCATACAATTCGGACTGATATTACACGTTTGGTGCACAATAAAAGGCAAATCGGACGAAGATATATGGGAGCTATATCTAAATTTTTACCGATTATCTCCAATTTCAATAGGGTTCTTGGGCCAAACAAATGATTTGTGCAAAATTTCATCTGGATAGGACAATAAATGCGAACTGTACTTTGTTTACAAGAATACATGGACAGACGGACGGACATGCATAAATCGACTCAGAATGTGATTCTATGCATATCATCAAAAGGAACTATGGGTCTATCTCGTTTCCTTTTGCCTGTTACAAACAAATGCACAAAGACATAATACTCTGACCACCTTGTGGTGTAGGGTATAAAAAACTCTATGAGGCTCATGAAAACCATTTTTTTTTGAATCAACGATTAAAGCTTTAAAAAAACATTCTTTAAATTTCCACGAAGATAGGCTCTTGAGATCTTTGACAAAAATATAATTTCCACGTTTAAAGCTCTTGATGCCTTAGAAATATTGTTTTTTAAAATTCCCGATTACAGTTCTTGGATTTAATTTTTTTAAATCGACAATGTGAGTTTTTATAGTCCTGAAAGGAAATAATGATGCGTACATATTTTTCCCACATTTAAGATAATATCGAAAGCATTAGAAAATAGTTTAAAAAAAAATATTTTTTAATTTTCAGATCACGACGGTCTTCTAACGAGTTATCGTGCAGGCAGCGTCAACAAACCGGATTTATCAGATGAACTCTCGAATCTCTTTACCTATCGAAGACTGTTGCATAATACTCACAGTTCTGGTGATAGCCATCGAAACAGCTACCCATGGGACACTACCACAACTGAAAGTTCCATACCAACAAATAATTTCAATTATCCTCTTTATGGTAATATGAATTTAGATGAAATCCTAAATTCAATAACAAACATAAACGGCGTGGCGTCTTCAATTTTGGAAGAATTGCCTAAAATCCAGGAAGACACTGAACCCGAAACCAGAATCGAAATCGAAACCACAACTACAACCACTACAGAACATGCCATTGTTAACCAAAGAGATCCATTGGAATTATTGAATAGCCTAAATCCATCATATCGACCAGATGAAAGTATTGATGAGTTTTTGGAGAGAATGCAGAAAATTAATTTCCGCGAAATGTTAACAAATGTGGCGGAGTCGACCAGAAATGCAATGCAATGGTTAGAAACAGCAACACCCGACACCAAACCCGAAACCACAACTACTACCACTACAGAACGTGCCATTGTTAACCAAAGAGATCCGTTGGAATTTTTGAATAGCCTAAATCCCTCGTATCGACCAGATGAAAGTATGGATGAATTTTTGGAGAGAATATCGACAATTAATTTCGGTGAAATGTTAACAAAAGTGGCGGACTCGACCCGAAATGCCATGCAATCAATAGAAACAACAACAGCCGAAGTGGAAAAAGCAAATTCCAAAGTAGAAGCTACAACAGCCCTGGTCGGAACTACAACAACCGAAGACGTCTCTGCAAACACCCCAGAATTGCCAGTTACCACAATCCCGACCTCGGATATATCTTCTGAAATTTCATTTGCAGATTCTATTACCAAAGATGAGAAGTCAACGCTGGCCTTGGATCTACCACCTGTTGTTACAGAATCATCTCTTCAAGATGCCAATCTGGAAATTTCAACACCCTACGGTGTAATCTGTTATCCAATTGTCTATAACAAAATTAATGAATTTGGAGTAAATGTGACAATTGAAAGCGTTGGATGTTATCCCGCTCCAGCACCCATCGTATTGGAGAATGTTCAGCAAGAGTAATTGATGCGGATGGTGATTTACAGTAGGATGAATTTAGAATTTGTTGAATATTGTATAAATTACGATAAGGTATTAATAAAAGTTTATTATGAAACACGCACGCAAGATGTTGAAAATGGTTTAACCTCTATTATAAAAAAACTTCCTGACTTTCGGCATTTCAAAGGTTTTCGTCCCAATATTTGATACTTAAGTCGTTATATTATATCAAAACAAGTAAGCGAAGGCTATAGTCGTGCGGGGACGACCATGTGATACCCTACAACACTACAATATGTTAAAAGCCTCCTTATGTCCAAATCCATTTTGGAAGATTTCGCTTTGAAATTATATCACGGAGCACTGCCCAGATATTACCCTTAGCATTTTTACCAGGGACATTTGCCAAATATTTACGCACTCCATCGTGTTGTTATTTGTTGTGGTTTATATAAAATATAGAATATAATCCAATGGTCATCCAAAATGCAAGAATTCTTCCCTGTCCTTAACTCACTTCTCAGGCGTGTCGATTGGCTTCAATTTTGTGATCAGAAAATTTTTTCTGTTTTTGGTTCAGTTGAACCCCTAAATATTTTGCGATCATCTCCGAAAGCAAGATGCCGCTATGCATCTACAAATTTAGACCCATATATATGATTTCCTTGACTACAATATTTGGCTATATTCATCAACGAAATCAGCATAAAAAGCCAGAAGTTCGCTTTTTGTGTATTTCGGATATCGCTTGTAAGTAATGTTGGTATTTTTTCACACAAAATTAGTGGTCCATTCTAACCGCTGTCCTAAACCCTAACTACATGTTAGATTTCGAGTCATTTGGTTTTTATTTGCGATCTGATAACGGCTGCAAAACCAGAAACATTTTTAGTGGGTGCTCCATTTCAACCCCCAAATATATTGCGGTCATCCTTGAAAACAATGGCTCTCCTGAGCCTAACCCTACCCTTGAGAAAATTTTCGTGAAGATCGGACGATAATTGCAATCTGTATATAATAACCCCAACCCGTGTTGTAAGGTGAAAACAAATTACAAAATGTATTCTTCAATATTATAAGTCAAATTGAAAAAATCGCATGCGATAAAAAATATGAAAAAATAAAAAAAATGTCACAAAATACTACAAAATCTATAATAACACTATTATTGGCACATTTCTATGAGATTTTTTTAGATTTTATTCTCTTATGTTAAGAGGGCATTTTGAATTGAGAAAATTTGTCAAAATCGGTTCAGCCATTCTTGAGATATATGCATTCTTGCTAACGTCCCCTTCTATTGTATATTTACATTGTATATATTTCCCGATATATATCAGATATATTTACTATCGGCATCTACGTAACGGTCAGAATTGACCTCTTCATCTATTGTGATTTCGCCGGGATTAAAAATATTCGCGGTTTAATGAAAATTTTGACTTTTATTTAACACAAATGCTATGGTCTATTTCACCCACTAAATATGACCCGATGACCATCAAAATTCGAAGACTTCTGGCCAGCCCTAAGATGTAGCCCCATGCTAACTTCCGCGTCGATTGGTCTGTAACTGCGACCTGTAGAGCAACTGCAAAATCAGGAAATTTTTAAGTATTTGGTCCATTTCAACCCCTAAATATTATGCGATCATCTCCAAAAGCAATAGGGTTCTATTCTGACCCAGACCCCACCTCCATTCTAAATTTCGTGAAGATCGGGCCATAATTGCGACCTGTAGAGTGATTACAAATTAACATGGACAGACGGACAGACTGACGGACGGACATACATAGCTAGATCGACTCAGCTCGGCAAGCTAGGAAGATCCATATATACTTTCCTATGTGGGAAACCAATATTTCGAGGTGTTACATAATTTTTGGCCCAATCAAACTTATAATACCCCCAACACATAGTGTTGTAGGGTATAAACAGACTAAAAATGTTTTTTTTTTTATACAAAGTTTTGAAAAGAGCCGTTCTGTCTTGCATGAATTCTCGTCTAATCTCTAGTTTTTTGTAATGATGTACCAACCATGTTTCGTCTGTCTAATTAGATGAAATTGGGAATCATATGATGAAGTATCGATTGGAATAAAGTCAGCTCCAACTCCATCTATATTTTTATAATAATTCATCGAGGCGAAGAGGCTGAAGCTAGAATATTGAAATTTTGCATGTGGGTCAGTGTTGGTGGTTCACCCCTACCCACCAACATAAGGTTACGTTTCATTAACCTGTTCGTTTATCAGAATAAATTTTGACTAGCGTTATGATTATTTAAATTTTGACCGCGGTTAGTACCGTAGGAGTGGACCGATATATTCCATATTTACACCAGATCTTGGGTTGATAGAAATATTGGGATGTGCCGAGTTCAAAAAGAACCAAACGTTCATTTCGCGTTTTATGAGCTTCGCGAAGTAGTGCTCTGTTCTATGTATATGTTCTTCATACGCAAAAAATTGAAAATTTTTTACGCTAAATTATTTTTTGCGATTTTTTACCTTTTGTGGGGGAGGTACCGGAAGGAGTGGAGCTATATTGCCCATCCACGAACTCGATCTAAGTTTGAGAAAAATATTACGATGAACCAAGTTTTGATTAAATCGGATATTTCTTCGTTAGTTATTGTGCGCACCAGTCAGACGGGCGGACGGATACCTTTAGATCGACTCCAAATGACCTGAAACAGATTTGGTCCAAGGGACCTAGGGCCTAAAATTGTTATTTCGACGAGTCACGTTTTGGTCGTATCACCCCTGTAGCAGTATGGCTGAGGGTATAATTATGTAGTGTTGATAGAAGTAGATGTGTTTGGAAATGTGTTCTAAGTTTAATAACTGTACTAAATTCGGTACAATTTGTTTTCGGTTGAACGGATTTAGCTGGAAATCTAAAATCTTGGTATTAGGGTCTCTGCTGGTGAAGAGGAAGAGTCCGGTTTGGAAATGTGTTTAGCAAGAGTACGAAAGGTGCTAAATGGTACTAAATTTGGTATTGCGTTAACGGATACTGATTGATATCTTAAATTTACCATTAGGATCACTGTCAGTGTGTAGGGCTGAGATTTGGAGGTGTTTTTGGAAATACGTACTAAAAAGTACTAAATGGTACAATATTTGGTATTTGGGTAAGGGATTGAGTTGGAAGTCTAAAATTTGGCATTAGGAACACCTTTTGTGCGGTTGGTTGTTACACGGCGGGGGATGTCGAAATATGTAATTAAAAAATACGAACAAATAGTATTAACGTCGGTATTTTAGGAAGAATAGAGCTGGATACCTGAAATTAGGAGGGAGTGTATTTGGTGCCTTTAAATTGTATATTGAGGTCTCTGTTGGCATCTGGAATTGAGATATGGTGGTGGTTTTGGGCATTTGTACTATAATTGTACGTTAAGTACAAAATTTGGTATTGGGTGAAGGACACTGTTTGTGTCTTTGGTTAAGATATGGATGTGGTTTTGGATATGCGTACTATAATTGTTCAAAAAGTACTAAGTGGAACTAAATTGGGTATTGGGTGAAGAAAAAGTGTTAGAATCCCGTAATTTGATACTAAGGCTCTTTGGAATTGAGGTATGGAGTTGGAATTGTGTACCATAATTATTCGTACAGTACTAAATGCTACTAAATTTGGTAATGGTTGAAGAGATAAAGCTGAAACCGTGAAATTTTATATATTTATAATAGGCATGCCGAGCATTGGAAAATGGTGCCGACTACTGGCAAAAAAGTACTATTTTAGTAAAATTGCAAATTTTGCCAATTTAATAAAACCAAATTAAATTTTTGTTTATTATTTCGAAAACTAAACAAAATTTGGAATCTGAACAATTTATTTTTCTGCAATTGAAAGATTTCACTCAGAATGTTGAAAGAATGAAAAATCGAAAATCCTAAAATTGCCGACTACTGGTACACTTACCCTGCCATATCTATACAAAAAGCTAAAAACTGAAGCTGAAATTCTGAAATTTAATATTTAGGTCACTGTTGGCTTCTGGGGTTTATATATGGAGACGTTAAAAAAGTTCTAGAGAAAAAATAATTATCCCTTAAAAAATTGGCCATCTCCTTTTGTACCTTCCCTACAAAGGGTTAACATATGCATAGGCTGAGGTATACATCTGTCGGAAAATTCAACTGATACTTTTTAACTCAGTTTTTTTTTATTGTTCGCACAAGAGTTATGTTACATATTTCGACGCGTTACAAACGTCACACGCCAAATCAAGCTTATAATACCCTCCCAGCAGAGTCAGAGGGACTACATATTTCCTGATTGTTATAGTTATAACCAGTAAAGAAAGTCCTAAAGTCGGGCGGGGCCGATTTTATGATACCCTACACCGCCTTGCTAATTTAGTTGAGCTCCACTTAATAATTAGAAGTTTTTAATTATAATTTAAAATTCAAAGGACTAAATATGCCGAAGCATTTGTATCTTTTAAATACGGACTTGTATTGCCCATTTGGTGCGAAATTAATTTGAAATCGGTTAAAAATTTATATAGGAACTATATCCAAATCTGAACCGATCTCGATAAAATTTGGCAAAAATATTTCTGAGCTGTATTTGATATATTTCCCTGAATATCGTTGTTACGGAGTGCATATTACGGCTGTGGGTAACAAATACAATAAATCGGATGAACAATATATATGGGAGCTATAACTATATCTGAACCGATCTTCACCAAATTTGGCATACAACCTTCTAGACTAAATTCGGTCGTATGTGCCAAATTCCATCCCATTTGGACAAATATTAGACGTTTGGTGCACAATAAATGGTAAATCGGACGAAATTATATATGGGAGATATATCCAAATCTAAACCGATCTCGATAAAATTTAGCAAAGGTATTTCTGAGCTGAATTTGATATATTTCCCCAAATATTGTTGTTACAGAGTGCATATTACGGCTGCGGAGGACAAAAATAACAAATCGGATGAACAATATATATGGGAGCTATAGCTATATCTGAACCGATTTCGATAAAATTTGGCATACTTATTTTCAGGCCTAATTTGGTTGTATGTGCAAAATTCCATACTATTCGGGCTGACACGTTTGGTGCACAATAAAAGGCAAATCGGACGAAGATATATATGGG